CACACATACAACTTCATAAAATTAGGATAATGGGCCCAGCAGATAGTGTAGCAATTGAGCTGCTGCACATGCCGACCACGTTTTGAATCTCAGACCTGGTGACTTGAAAATCATCCCAGGTGCTTGAGTGTGTGTACCCAAAATCCTGGGAGGAAAATGGAGAAGGGACTATGGAGCGACCATCCTCCCTGGAGGGTGTCTTTTCACTTTACCTCTCACTGTCTGTCTGTCTCTATATATAGGGCGAGCACACACACATTAAGGCAAAAAAAAAAAAAGAAAAAAAAAAACACCAAAAAAACAAAAAACAAAAATATTCTTAAAAAATTTGGATTATAACATACAGTTCCATAACTTTTTTTTTCTTTTTTTCCTTTTGTGGAGAGGTTTTTGCTATAGGGCGCATGCGCTCGCCAGAAAGAGACAGAGAAACAGAAAGCGAGAAATCACCGCCCAGGGGGGTTGGCCACGCCGCAATCCCTTCTCCTCTCAGGATCTTGGGCACGCATGCACATGCGCCCGGTGTGAGTTTAAGCTGTGTGGATGGACTCGAACCGTGGTCAACTACGTGCGAGTCCAGTGACATAGCCATTATGCTAATCGCTGGTCCCCACAATTATGTTTTTATTATAACCATCTTTCCATATCGGATACATATAAATCTAGCTCATTTTTGTGCTGCACTGTATTACACTGAATAGTTGTGTGTGTGTTTCCCTAGTTTTGTTTTTTTTTTTTGCTATAGGATATGTGTGCTCACTGGAGAGATCGAGGAAGAGGAAAAGTGAGAAATCATTCCCCAGAGAAAATGGACACATTGCAATCCCTTCTCCTCCATCTTCCTCTTAGGATTTTGGGTACACATGCTATGTACTCATACCCAGCATTTTTCCAAACTGCCAGGTCTGGGACATGAACTACACAGCTGGCCAAGAGGAAACCAGCTGCCTTAACCTCCATGCCATTTGCTGGACCATGGTTGTATTATAACTTAAAACTTTCCCCTTTAGACGTATTTCAGTTTTTATTAAAAACAGTATTGCTTTGAACTTTCTTATATTGGGTCAGCCTAAAAGTCATGCCTGCCATATTTTTCTGTCTTGATGCAAAAATGCATCATGACTTTTCTGATGATCTAATATATATACCTTTGGATAGTTATATATAATATATATCCAGAAGTGGGAAAGCTCTGTCAAAGATAGGATGAGGTAGGTCCATCAGTCATGTGTGAGTCCAGCGACATAACCACTATGCCATTTGCTTGTCCTAAACTGCATTTTCTTAATTATTATTAATAGTTATTGGTCATGCATAGTTTTGATAAACTGTTCCTATCATTTGTCTACTGGTCTTTTCAGTTTTTAAAAAATTAGTAATATTAGGAATATTAACCTATTATTTCTATATATGTTAGAGACATTATTCCATGGTCTACTTTATCTAGTTTATCCTGTGTTTTTTTTGAAATCTAGATATGTTAAGTCTCTGTATACCTGAACATGTTTCTTTTGCCATCATATATGAATGATAATTTGGATAAACATCGACTTAGTACCATTGCTTTTCCAGAAGAATTTTGTGGATACCTGTTATACCATCTGTAATCTTTCACTCTGCGTAGGCCAATGCCACTGATTTTATGTGTGTGTGTGGGAGGGGGTTGTAAGTAACCATTTTCATTCCCACTCCTTCCTACAAACTTACAGAATTCTTTTTCTCTTTACCTTTGAACTTAAAAACAAATTGGCACTGCAGGTGGCATAGTGGTTGGGACACTGGACTCCCAGATGGTGGACCATGGTTTGAGTTCTGGACCCAGAGGCTTGAAACTTACACTGGGCACTGTGCATGTACCATGCCTGCCCAAAATCCCAAGAGGAGAATGGAGGAGAAGGGATTGTGGTGAGGCCACTGCCCTTTAGGGGTGATTTCTCACTTTCTCTCTCTCTCTATTTCTGTATCTCTGGCAGCACAAATGCCCTATAGCAAAAAACCTCTCTAAAACAATGAGGGTGTGAGCAAGTATGTGTTGTTTCTCAATACATCTGGTTATCACTTAGAGGCCCTTCTCTTGCAAAATTGTATTCTTGGCTCTGGGAAAATATTTATTATTCTCTGACTCTTGTTTCTCCCCCATCCATTTTGTTTTTTCTTCTGAAATAGTTACTAAGTTATTTTCATCTTGGCATAATTTCTTAATTTGTGTTTAATCGCTCACTTGATTTCTAACTATGTCCATCTTGCTATTCAGTCCTTCAAATGAGTAGTTCCTCACTGACACATTTTGGGGAATCATATGTTAATTTTCAAAAATACTTTTCTATTCTACTGTCCTTATTGCACACCAACCTGTTCTTGTTTTGTGAATGCAATATCTTCCTGAATCCCCCCGAGAAACTGTACTTCACAGGTCATTTATTCTGCTTAATGATCTTTTTCAGGGCGTTTTTCTCTGAAACGTTCTCTGAACTTTGGCAGCCCATTTCTGTCTGTAATTGACAGTCAAACTGGTCAGCATTACTGTGATATACAGCACAGGTCCTCTTTTGCACTTACCCTACTAAAGGAAATACCATGCTTAGGTGTTATGCTATTGGACTCCATCGTAGCTAATGTGAATTAATGGTATGTTGGCTGCCTGTCAAAGATAATTGGGCAGGGAACAAAGAATACTTTGTTGTTCCTACAGATAACCTTCGTAGATAGCTTGGGAAGTGTTAAAGCTGATTAAACTGTACAAGAGGAGTTTGAATATCATGCTAAAACATTTGGAATGAAAAGCCTTGAAGGAAACTTGAAAAAAGCATTATGATGATGTCACATATACTACAGTTATGTAACTATGTTGCTTGCTATATACCTTTATGGCAAGATGATGCATTAAAGAGATAAGAGTTGAGGTATAGAGACTAGCTAGGAGCAATATAATATTGTCAGCCAAAGAGGAAAGGCATGAACACATAAAAGACATTGATAGGGAATACAAATCAAAGTAAAAGAATTCTAGGGACTAGTAGATAGTTATGTTGCTGGATTCCCACGTACTTAACCACGGTTTGAATCTCAAACCTAACTGCCAGGAGTATGTGTGTGGGCTAAAAATCCTGAGAGGAGAATGGAGGGGAAGGGATTGTGGTATGACCATCCCCCCTTTGGGGGTGTGATTTCTTACTTTCCATCTCTCTGTCTCTACCTTTCCAGTGAGTGTACATGCCCTATAGCAAAAAAAAAAAAAAAAAACCCAAAACAAACAAACAAAAAACCTCTTTAAAAAAAAGTAAGTGATAGAATTCTAAACTCTTCTGCATTATTATTATTATTATTATTATTATTATTATTATTATTATTTTGGAGAGGTTTTGCTATAGGGTGTATGCACTCATCAGAAAGACAGAGATAGATAGAGAGACAGAAAGTGAGAAATCACCCCCCCCCAGGGGGGATGGCCACACCGCAATCCCTTCTCCTCCATTTTCCTCTCGGGATCTTGGGCATGCACGCACACGCACCAGGCGTGAGTTTAAGCCACCAGATCCAGGACTCGAACCATGGTCAACTACATGGGAGCCCAGCGACAGAGCCATTACGCTAACTGCTAGTCCCAAGGCTTCTGCATTAAATCCCTTTAATTTTCTAAAAAGGTGTAAAAAATATTGCTAATTAGTAATATTTCAAAAATTCTGTTTCATAACTACACAAAACGGTATCACAATTTTTGTGAAATGGAAATAAAGTCACGTGACAAACAAGGTAGAGAGAAAGGGTGCAGCAGAAAATGGCACAAGTAACATAAAGGATGGAGGGGGAAACGTGGGAGACCACAGAGAAAGGTACGGTAAGATGCATCATCAGTTAGAACCTGAGTGAATGACTTTCAGTGAAGCATGACCCTGAAGACAAAAAGTAGGTAATATAACCTTTCATTTTGTTTAAAGCACTCACGTGATACCAGGGGCAGAGAGAAGCAGTGTGCGAAAAGTAGGATTATGGTGAGTGAAGATGGTAAGGGAAGTTCTAGACCAGGGTCGGTCAACTGTCTTTTAATTGCCCAAATAATAAATACTTTATGCTCCTCAGCTATGAAGTCTCTGTCCCCCTGGACTCTGCTGCTGTGAAACAGCCAAGTAAACAAATAATGAATGGAGTGACTATATCCAATAAAACTTTATTTACGAAATAGGTGGCTAGGTCACAGCTGGTAATGCCTTGTTCTAGAGCAGTGCCTCTCAAAACTTTAATGTGCATACAAATCATCAGAGCATCTAGTTAAATGCAGGTGATGACTCAGTAGATCTGGGGAAGGATCAGTAATATTACTTTCTTTCTTTTTTTTTTAAAGAGGTTTTTACCTTAGGGCATGTGTGCTTGTCCGGAGTAGAAAGAGAGAGAGAGACAGACAGACAGAGGGAAAGCAAGAAATTACCTCCTGGGGGATGGCCACACCACAGTCCCTCTCCTCCATCCTCCTCCCAGGATCTTGGGCACACACACATGTACCCAGTGTGAGTTTCAAGCCACTGAGTCCGGGACTCAAACAGCGGCCTGCCATGTGGGAATGCAGCAACAAAACTGCTATCCATCTGCTGGCCCCAATATTAGTTACTAACAAGTTCCCAGATATTACCTCATGCTTAGTGCTGGATCATACTTAGAGTGACTGCCATGGAACAAAGAGAGTGGAAGCAGTTACTAACCAAAACTGGAACACATTGCAGACCTGTGATCACCTGGTCCTTAAGCATCATTTAACTGCATTATATACATGTGTGTATACATGTATATACACACATACACTCATTCACGACATATTTTCAGAAGAAAAGAAATGAATTTAAATGTTCTTTAAGAAGAATTAAAATATAAAGAAGAATTCATGTAGATTATGACTTTACTATTAGCCTACTGAGTTGTTCTCTTCAGAAACAATCTAAGTTAGTGGCATTTATAAACTTTCAAAACAATCAATCATTTAAACATCTACATTTTCATATACTAACCTTATTTCCCTGATAGTTAAATCTCATCCTTGTAATTCTTGAATTGCCACCAGATCGAAAACAAGTTATTTGCTGAGAATGGCCCCATTCAAACATTCTGACACTTCCATCCTGAGCTCCTGTCAGATCTGCAGTATAAGAGGACAAAGAACACAGACATTTTTGAAGACTCTTCGGGGAATATGATTTCTTAATCCAACAAGAAACCCTTTACAGAAGAAACACACTTTATAATTAAATCAAAGCTTATATGAATTTATCTTTCCACAAAATTTTGTTTGAATACTCCTTACTTAAAAACAGATAGTTGTGGGACCAGCAGTTAGCACAATGGCTATGTTGCTGGACTCCCATGTAGTCGACCGCGGTTCGCGTCCCAGACCCGGTGGCTTAAACTCACTCTGGGCGCATGTGCATGCGTGCCCAAGATCCCAAGAGGAGAATGGAGAAGGGATTGTGGAGTGGCCATTCCCCCGGGGGGTGATTTCTTGCTTTCTGTCTGTCTCTCTCGGTCTGGCGAGTGCATGCGCCCTATAGCAAAAATCTCTCCAAAAAAAAAATAGTTGTACGATAAACCTTAATTTGAATGAGAACATATACTTTAGCAAAAAATCAAAAACATTTACATTAGTTCTCTATAAATTATATTTTTCTAGAAAATAATCTCTTTTTTTAGGTTTTTGTCATAGGGCACATGCACTTTCCAGAGAAATAGAAGG